CCACTGCAGAAACATCGCCTCGGCCAGGACGTCCTCCGTCCAGGCCGTCCCCTCCGCGAGCGCGACCACCGCGACGGGGTCATACAAGCGCTTGAGAAGCCTCGTGAGGGTCGACTTGCCGGAGCCGCTTCGCCCGATAATCCCGCTCACCCCGCGGGCGGGGAGGGCCAGGGAGAGATCCGCCAACGCCGGCCGCACGGCCCCCTCCCCTTCCCCTTCCCCCTCTTCCTCCCCCGCGAGGGAATGGCAGAGCTGCGGGTAGGCAAAGGTGACGTGGTGCAGGGAAATCCCCCGGTGGAGGCGCAACCCGCCGATAATCCGCCCGGCCCCATCAAAACGCAGCGATTTTTGATCCAAAGCATCCCTTGGGGGGTTCTCTCGGTCAAAAGGATCCCTTTGGAGGTTCTTTGGATCAAAATCATCCCTTTGGGGGTTCTCTTGATCTAAAGCATCCTTTGGGGGGTTCTCTCGGTCAAAATCATCCCTTGGGGGGTTCTTTCCCGCGAAATCGGGCGGCCCGCGGCGGAGATAATCTCGCCAGAGCCGTCGCCGCGCGCACACCACCCGCGCCGTGGCGTAGGCGGAGTCGTCGTGGATGGTGCTGGGGATGTAGTCCACGCACTGCAGGGCGCGGACGGCCGCCAGGGACACCGGCGGCGCGAACGAGAGGGAAAAGGGGGAAAACAACGAAAAAGAGAAGGAAAAGGACGGCGCGGCCCAACTCAGGAGCTGCCGGTATTCCTCAAAATGCCCCCGCCGCCGCATCACCTCGCGCGGCTCGCAGGGGGCGATGGGGAGGCGCCAAAAGGACCAAAGGGCGCGTTTTTTCCCCTTTTCGCCTTGGGGGACATCGAGTCCCCCGCGCGGGGCCGCGCAGCTGAGGGCGAGCACCACCAGCCCCTCGAGCACCCGCGCGGCGGGCAAAAAAACCCCCCGCAGCGGCCCCGCCGCCCCGTCGTCCGAAGAAAAGGGCCGCACCCGGCGCTCGGCGGCGACGGCGCTCGCAAACACCACCTCGAGCCCGAGCTGGCGGAGAATAAACCG